TCTCAATGACTGAGTGAATGTTCATCTTCTTCTAGAATTGCAGCCTAGCTCTTACCTTTATTGATGTATAATTGAAATATTTTTTACGTTCTTGTTTGGTTTTATCTCTTGATTTCTTTCTTATTGAATTTTATCTATGAGAAGCATTTGATCAATGTTTTCCATAACTTAAAGACATTTAAGAAAGGAATGAAAGGTGAACCTAATAGTTAGAATCATGGGGAATTGAACCAAAAAAGTAGGTTTAATCCTCCAAGGAATCAATGAATCAATAAAGAACTTAATGAGTTTAATTGGAAATAACTATCACAAAAGTACGGGTTAATTCAAATTAAATACCTCTCTATATTATGAAAATGAATGATACATTAAGTTAATTCACCTTCAAAGACAACTAATAAGAGTATTAAGGTAAATATATTAGGTATGTTGAAAAAGATGGAAAATAGAGATATAATAGGCTAAATTTGTGTCTCAACCACACAATGGAAGTTCATTAATAAGAAAATACATGATGGGTGTAATAGAGAATATTTTGTTTCCCTTAATTATGAGATACTTTCCATATTCTACGTTATAAATGAAAATATCATTTCCCAATTTTCAACATTTTCCCTCAAGTTGAAGTATATACATTATATGTACGCAAATTGCTACAAATATAATCAATTCTCAATCCTCTCAAAGAATCAATAAAGACATTTGTCAATTAATCACAAAAGTTAACAAAACTAGTGATGATTTCTCCGTACTCGATCTTCTTTATGACAAAATGATAGTCTACCGAAATATGTTTTATCCTTTCATGAAAGAGCGGGTTGGATGCAATATGTAAGACAACCTAGTTATAACATATTAATGAAATTTGCATCATCTCTTTTAAATTTAACCTCCCAAGGAGTTTTTTCAACCAAATAAGTTTACAAGTTACTAGGATCATGACTATGTATTGTGCTTTGGCACTTTATCTTGCTACCGCATTTTGTATCTTACTCTTTCATTATATTAAGTTTTCACCAACAAATACACAATATCAAGAGGTGGATTGTCTATCATTAGGCAAGCATGCCTAGTCAACATTTGAATATCCAATTATTTAAATGTGATTTGTGTCTTCATATAATGATCATTTTTCTTACACCACCTTTAATATACTTGAGTATCTAAATTTTACGGCATCCCAATGGTCTTAGCAAAGAGAGTTCAAGAATTAACTTACCATAGTTAAATAATTAAATTTCGCAACTAATTTTTTATATCTTCCGTGGTTAATAACAACTCCCTTTGATTTGGTAGTAAGTTGATTTTGGGATTCATAGGGGTGCCTACATGTTTGACATTCATTAAGTTAGTTTCTTTAAGGATATCAAATGCGCACTTCCTTTAAGAAATCACCGACCCATCTTTAAATTGAGTAACCTCAATACCTACGAAATACCAAAGTTTTCCAAGATTGTACCACATTTCTAAACTTGTCAAACCCGACTTGCAGTGACTACTTAAGACTATATAAAGACTTGTGAAGTCCACAAACCATGTTGAAAGAGTCCCCTAAGCAATGAATCATGGTGGTTGCTCTACATATACTTCTCCATCTAGGTCATTATGGAGGAAAGCATTCTTGAAGTCCAATTGAAATAAATGTCAATGATAAATGGTTGCAATAAAAAGAATTCTTAGATAGCTAGGTCATTTTAGCTATAAAGGAGAGTATATTTGTATATTCCTCACAAAAAATTTGGATATAGTGCTTGACCACCAAATGAGCCTTAAAACAATTAATCTTGCCATAAAGTCTCACCTTGAGTGTGTAGAACCATCAACACCTAACAATGTTTTTTTAAGTCTTACTCAAAAAATGATGTTGTAAAGATAATCAACATGTTATTTTCTAAAACATGGTGTTTAGTCTTCAAACAATTACAAGTATAATAATTCAATCTATTTATTCTTTAATTATCAAAACCATCTATATATGAATTCAACAAATCCTTCTACTTTATAAAATTGAAAATTATCAATGGATTCATCAATGTGTAAGTTCAACAAATCCTTCTAAATTTATAAATTAAAAATCAATGGGTTGGTCGAATTTCACCACCACTTATCATGAAGTAGAAAATTAATCTTTCAACCTAATTTTATAATCTATTATAAGTCAAGTAATTATATGAATTTCAATAATTAAACATTAGTCTTTTAAAAAAATTGAGATGTCAAAACATAATATTTTAAAATGAAAGATTTTAAGTATAAAAACATATATAAATATTAAAATTTATTTTATAATTGTTTAAAAAAATATATATTATATTTTAAATTAATGGATCATAACATCAAGTGCATGAAATAATTAAAATCAGTAATTTTGAATTTAAATTGTGTGTATAGAATTATGTTAAATACTTATTAAGAGAATTTTATAGTTACAATAATATTTGTGACAAGCTTAAGAAAAATATCTCTTGTAAATAATATGTTGTGTATAAAAAATATTAATAATCTTCATAATCATCCATAAAAAAAAATGTTAATAAATAGATTAAAAATATTTCTTTTATTAAACTAGACAATCGACTCATGCATATACTCCTTTAAAAAAAATTTAAAAATACAACAAGAACTTATATATATTATTTTAAAAATAATGATACACATACAACAAAAATTATACAATACCATTTTTATGATTTTATTTTTTCATCATTAATAATATTTCTCTTTCTAATAAAGGAAATAATGAAGAGAGATAAATATAAAATTGATGTTATATATATATATATATATAACATTCCTCTATTTTAATTCAATCATATAAAATTAATTTATAAAATAAGAATTTTTATTAATTTATATATTATTTTAATCATACTATATGACAACGTGAGATATTAAAATAAATTAAATTGATCAATGAATGTGAATTAGTGTATTCTCATTCCATCTCATTCCAACCTATAGAAATTGTGAGAAATTTGGAAACTTAATCATGACTATTCTGATAAACACGAAGAGGAAATTATCTGTGTTTTCAGGAGGTTGAAGCACCTAGGATACAAACTCCAAATGAAGAAGGAGATAAATAAATCATAGTTATAGTCACATGCTGCAAAACTATCGCAAGTGAAACAGAGTGAAGGACAATCGTACACTCCATTACACTAAAAAGATCATACATGTTATAATGAGGTGGGGATACATTCAAAAAGGTTCTAGACCCACATGCCAATAAATAAATAAATAAATAAATAAATCCCCTCAAAAGAAAAAAAAAAACAAAGTTTACCAATTTGTCAAAAACAAATGACAGAATCTTAAAACATGTTTGGATTATTGTCTGCAAATCATGTTTTCACTCAAACAAAAATAATATATATATTATATATATTTACTTCTATTCAAATTATGATTTAGAATCTAAATTTATGTTAAACACGACTCAGTGATGATTTTATTAGAACTATATTTATAAATAAAAACTAATTTACACACACCAAATTAAAGTTTACTATGAATGAATTATAATTCAAACATTGATAATTTTTTTTTATGACTTTCAAATAATAAGTAATAACCAATAAGGATGATTAAGGTGGTCAATCTAGTACCAAAGATTAAATTAATATACACAAAATCTTAAATTCAAACTTTAATATTATCATTATAAATTTGATAAATAAAAAATAAAAAATTAAATTAAATTATATAATTCTTTGAAATTATTATTGGATGACGATAATTATAAATTTATAACACTATTGAGCGCTAAATTAACTTATATAAGATCAATTTAACTTAACTAGAAATATTTGAATTTGAGTTCTTAATATATAAATACATTAAATACTTAGATGTGGTAATTGATTCAGATGTAATCATTTTTAAATCTACGTTTTTTAATTTTAATTTTAATTGGATAAGATGTAATAGTTTATTGGGGTCGAATAAAAATGTCTCGTGCATAATACAAATTTTTATACACAAAGCTTTAAATTTAACACTTTAGTCAAAGATTATATTTGTAATTTCACTGGAAATAATAAAATCTGAAATATGACATGTCTAGTTGGTGATCACATATCTGAAATATGATATTTATAAGCTTTTTTGAAGAGGACCCTGGTGCAGCATGGAAGAGTGAAGAGGGTGAGGTGTCTGAAACTGGAATCCACTTGGATTTGGAGCAGAATCTTTAGTAGTATTATTCATAGAAGGCACGTTGATTTTGAAAATGGTCCAACTTTTGAGCTTGTCTAGTTGTTGTGTGCGTGTGTGGGTGGAGTCAGCTTTTGAGCCAAAGCAAAGGGATTCGCCATATCGCAACGATGTGATGTGATGTGATGACCCCTCCGATTTCTCAAACCTATCATCTATAATTTAAAATATTGGACCGATCATCAAATCGGTTAAGATACTGAATTAACGAGTTAGTAAATTAGAGATTGAACTAATAAATCATTAATTAAATTACATAATTAATTCTTATTAATTTTTTTAAAAAATATTTATATTAAATATATTTTATATTTATAA